CAGCATTGGCGCATGAATGAGGAGCGTATGAACATGCACCATAGAAGGACTACTCTACCTATCGGTTCAGTACATTCCACAGAAGCTTGGGCCAGAGGAGAGATGTAAAGAAACGAAAAAAGTAAGAATTTGCTCAAATTACTTTGTTTGCTGATGGTTAAATGTACAGCTTGGAGTGAAGTTGAAACTTAGAGGAAACAGTTGCTATGTAAAATATTTGTTTGATATTGAGGGAGGCTATGACAGACACAGTATTTGCTGTGCTGAAATCTGGACCATTCCATGAAAAGAATCAAGAGCACCAAATCCATCTCCTGACCAGATCTGATCACACACACACACACACACACACACACACACACTATCATCTCCTGACACTTCTATTGATCCGTAGTCCAGTCAGCTGCAGTGCATACCGTATCATATCTGTACATTTCTTCCGAGTGTTTCAGTTGTTTAGCAAACATCCTACTTTTCTTCTAGAATTCAGCCAGTGCCAAAGGAGAGCATCTCCCCACCCTGCCCCTGAGTCCCCCAACCCCTCACCACCACCGCCATGACCTCTGAACTAGGGAGCAGCCTGACTTCCATGGACTGGCTTCCCCAGCTTACCATGCGGGCGGCCATCCAGAAGTCCAATGCCGGGCACCAACACCACACTCACGGGTACCCCCACGGGCATCATGGCCACGAGCCGGGAAAGAAGAGTGCCCCGCTGGACCAGGGCAACACGCTGGACCAGGAGGAGGTGGCCCAGCACAGGGATGGCAAGCCACCCTACAGCTACGCCAGCCTTATCACCTTCGCCATCAACGGCTCGCCTAACAAGAGGATGACCCTCAGCGAGATATACCAATGGATCTGTGACAACTTCCCCTACTACCGGGAGGCAGGGAGCGGCTGGAAGGTAGGAGGTGGAAATGGAAGAATGAAAGAGGGATGGGGGGAAGGGGCATTTTGTGTGCATTAAAGGGATGGTTCACTTCAGATTCAGTTTGTTATACTAATGGAATTAGGTGGCGCTCATCTTTCCTATTCGTTTGGGATTGAGGTCTGCATATTTTTCTGATTGCACGATGTGGGATCTACGTAACCCACTTTTGAGGGATACAAATGTCCGATAAACTTAGTTTTTGGTCAACTATCCCTTCAGATACATTTATACCTGTTGCAGTAATGTGTCTTGTTGTGAGGAGCAGGATCTTACAAGTTCAATTAGCAGACTTAGGCTGACATAGTCCACTGTTTATCGCCTTCTGACACTCCAGTAAATTCAGTATAATGTATATTATAATCTGGGAAGTTTGGGTCCTGGATGCTGATTGGCTGAAAGCTGTGGTATATCAGACAATATACCACGGGTATATTTTTTACTGTTCTAATTACTTTGTTAACCAGTTTATAATCGCAGTAAGGCACCTCGGGGGTTTCTGGTATATGGCCAATATACTGTACCATGGCTAAGGGCTGTATCCAGGCACTCCGCGTTGTGTCGTGCTAAGAACAGCCCTTATTCGTGGTATATTGGCCATATACCACACCTCCTCGGGCCTTATTGCTTAAATAGAGATTTAAATTTGATTAAAAAATACATTGAATAAGTGTGAACCAGTATTGACATTTGTTTGAACGTTTGTTTCATATTTAATTGCTGCGCTGCTCTTGACTTTGCAACATGTCTCAGAAGTATGAGGAAATATTACTGGTGACGGTCAGTCATTGCTTTGTGAAGGAGTACGGCAGTGAGTGACAGAGCGCACGTTCCATTCAGGTGGCATTAACAAATCCTTAATGGTGCGATCTGCGATTTGTACATCAATCTTTTTTTTTTTACTTTAAAATTAATTATATGCGGATTGCAGCTTTCATGTAAATAGTATTGTATAAATCCAGACAAATGACACAACATGCTTATTTTACTTGAGAGATGAGTAGAATGATCTGGAATCCTTTGGTTTAGTCTAGGGAATACTTACCCTTATTAATCACATGACAGAGGCTGTGCTTTGTCTGATGAGGCTGCCTGGCTACAATGTCCCCAGTACAGTGGGGGAAAAAAGTATTTAGTCAGCCACCAATTGTGCAAGTTCTCCCACTTAAAAAGATGAGAGAGGCCTGTAATTTTCATCATAGGTACACGTCAACTATGACAGACAAATTGAGAAAAGAAATTCCAGAAAATCACATTGTAGGATTTTTAATGAATTTATTTGCAAATTATTGTGGAAAATAAGTATTTGGTCACCTACAAACAAGCAAGATTTCTGGCTCTCACAGACCTGTAACTTCTTCTTTAAGAGGCTCCTCTGTCCTCCACTCGTTACCTGTATTAATGGCACCTGTTTGAACTTGTTATCAGTATAAAAGACACCTGTCCACAACCTCAAACAGTCACACTCCAAACTCCACTATGGCCAAGACCAAAGAGCTGTCAAAGGACACCAGAAACAAAATTGTAGACCTGCACCAGGCTGGGAAGACTGAATCTGCAATAGGTAAGCAGCTTGGTTTGAAGAAATCAACTGTGGGAGCAATTATTAGGAAATGGAAGACAAACAAGACAACTGATAATCTCCCTCGATCTGGGGCTCCACGCAAGATCTCACCCCGTGGGGTCAAAATGATCACAAGAACGGTGAGCAAAAATCCCAGAACCACACGGGGGGAACTAGTGAATGACCTGCAGAGAGCTGGGACCAAAGTAACAAAGCCTACCGTCAGTAACACACTACGCCGCCAGGGACTCAAATCCTGCAGTGCCAGACGTGTCCCCCTGCTTAAGCCAGTACATGTCCAGGCCCGTCTGAAGTTTGCTAGAGTGCATTTGGATGATCCAGAAGAGGATTGGGAGAATGTCATATGGTCAGATGAAACCAAAATAGAACTTTTTGGTAAAAACTCAACTCGTCGTGTTTGGAGGACAAAGAATGCTTAGTTGCATCCAAAGAACACCATACCTACTGTGAAGCATGGGGGTGGAAACATCATGCTTTGGGGCTGTTTTTCTGCAAAGGGACCAGGACGACTGATCCGTGTAAAGGAAAGAATGAATGGGGCCATGTATCATGAGATTTTGAGTGAAAACCTCCTTCCATCAGCAAGGGCATTGAAGATGAAACGTGGCTGGGTCTTTCAGCATGACAATGATCCCAAACACACCGCCCGGGCAACGAAGGAGTGGCTTCGTAAGAAGCATTTCAAGGTCCTGGAGTGGCCTAGCCAGTCTCCAGATCTCAACCCCATAGAAAATCTTTGGAGGGAGTTGAAAGTCTGTGTTGCCCAGCGACAGCCCCAAAACATGACTGCTCTAGAGGAGATCTGCATGGAGGAATGGGCCAAAATACCAGCAACAGTGTGTGAAAACCTTGTGAAGACTTACAGAAAACGTTTGACCTGTGTCATTGCCAACAAAGGGTATATAACAAAGTATTGAGAAACTTTTGTTATTGACCAAATACTTATTTTCCACCATAATTTGCAAATAAATTCATTAAAAATCCTACAATATGATTTTCTGGAAATTTTTTCCTCATTTTGTCTGTCATAGTTGACGTGTACCTATGATGAAAATTACAGGCCTCTCTCATCTTTTTAAGTGGGAGAACTTGCACAATTGGTGGCTGACTAAATTCTTTTTTCCCCCACTGTAGATGTGTCCCAAATAGCACCCTATTCCCTATGGGTGCTGGTCAAAAGTAGCACACTATATAGGGAATAGAATGACATTTGGGACACATCCACAACAATCTCCATTTAATCTCTGATTTCCTCAGTGAGTGAAAATATCTTCCCTCTCCATGCTCCGTTCACAAACCTATGTTTATTCTCAGGATTTAATCTTCCTGAGCTAAATTGCATGCCAGCAGCTCAAAATGGTTTGCGATAAAAGTCAGTTTGTTTTGGTAGGGTTCCAAGCTTGTTGGCGTGGTCATGAGATATGTTCTGTAGATTTCTTCTTTCATTTGTTCACAGAAAACCAAGATAAATAGATTTTCTAGACCTTTCAGGCATTGTGATTCGTTTTTTCTTGAATTGTCAATGGTTTCTCTCTGTTCAGGCAGTTACCCCGTCATATGGGCAATATAACTGTTTGGGGTTTTAGGCTGGGTTTCTGTATAGCACTTTGTGACATCTGCTGATGTAAAAAGGGCTTTATAAATACATTTGATTGATTGATCTTAAATAGGATAGGCATAATGCCCTCATTAATACGTATAGTACTGCAGATGTTTAAGATCTGTAAGCTTTCTCTGATGTACTTATTCAAAGTCTTCCACACCACAGTAATAAGTAGGTTTGACCCCATATATTATTTTCTATTCCGATTCTATGAGAAATAACTGAGTTTTGGCACAGGGACAGCGATCTAATGCTAGCTAACGTTAGCAACCATCGCTACTTAGCTAACGTTTGTGAATTGTGGATTTGACGGATATTTGTTATAAATGCCAAATCTGATTCGAACCTCAAAATTGTGATTCAGGGACAGCCCTGGTATCAGGGACGTTAATACAGACATCAATACCAAACTGAATCTATTTATCAAATATTTTTATTTGTATTATTATTGTTGGGAAGGGCTCGTAAGCAAGCATTTCACAGTTGTCTCCACCCGTTGTATTTCGTGCATATGACAAGTACAATTAGATTTTTTATTTGATTTTAGTTAGAAAAACACTTTTTCAGTACATTGGCCCTCTTGGGTATTATAATTGTCCTTGCATTGACAAGCTAGAATAATCACACATGTACTTACATGTGTATGGACATCATCTCATCTCAAAGATGATTCTAAAAGGGGTTGGAAAAGTAAAAAGATTACTGGCCTGTAAAAAGGCTAACGATATATCCACCATAAACGTAAGATCCATCTTGAGGATTTAGCCTTTAATTTCCTCAAGACCAAACTACGTTCGACATCCTAGGAATACTCCAGATGATGAGATGCACAGTATAATCTGGCACGAGGACTGTTGAGGTCTAATAGGCCCACTGCATACATGGCTCAGCCTCAAGCTGTAAACATTTACTCCCGGATGTACCTGGCCCAGTGCGGAGATGTTGTGGTTGAAACGGTGATCTGCATCAAAGGGAACGTGAGCGAATTCATTACAGTCAAGGTGATTACTGTCAGCTGCACACAGTGGGAGACAGACATGGAGCCCAAGCAGTGTCTGGATTCCTTGATTTGGAGAATATACTGTTGATGCACAAGTAAAATAGCTTGTACTTCACGCACGCACACTCACAAAGACACATAAGCGCACACACACACACACACACACACAGTCCACACACACACACACAGTCCACACACACACACGAGTGAGTGTGTGAGTAAGAGACTCCCACTCAGGTAGGCATACGTGTGCAGTCTACAGATTACAGTAGGGCGGCTCAGCCAGAGGAGATGGGTAGTGGTGAGTTTACTACCCAGCACACGCACGCGTCTGCTCTGTATGATAATGTGGATGCACAGGCATGAGAGAGGCCAGGTTGAAACCAGGCCAATGCTAACCCCTCTCCCATTTTGAACACAAGCGCATTAGCCACAGGATACACTGAGTGTAATCAGATAACTCGTCAAGGTCATAACACGTCCGCATGGTATGAGGGAGCAGGACGTGGGATGCATCCCAAATGGTACCCTATTCCCTTTATAGTGCACTACTTTTGACCCAGGCCCACATTAACCTCTCTCACTCTCATTGGTCTATAACAGCATTTCTCATACACATAGGGCTCTGGTCAAAAGTGGTGTTCTACAAAAGGAAAAGGGCCTCTGGTCAAAAAATGAATAGGGTGCCAATTTGGACAAGGGCCCTAGTCAAAATGTGTGTGCTATAAAGGCAATAGGGTGTTGTTTGGACTAGAGGTTGACAGGTTGATTCCGGCAGGAATGGGAAAGAATTTCTAGAGTCAAGTTCAGAACAGGACAGGATTCCTTATTGATGTCACTTGTTAAATCCACTTCAATCAGTGTAGATGAAGGGGAGGAGACAGGTAAAGAAGGATTTTTAAGCCTTGAGACAATTGAGACATTGATTGTGTATGTGTGCCATTGAGGTGTGTTTTCATGGCACACATTGGGCCCCATCATAAATGCCAATTAGGTGCATCCCTTCATGGCAGCAGTGTATTGATCTGCACATTTCAGCAGGATAATGCCCCATGCCACAAGGCTAGGGTTTTCCAGGAATGGTTCCACGAACATGACAGTGAATTCAGCTTACTGCAGTGGCCTGCCCAGTCACCAGATCTCAATCCAATTGAGCATCTGTGAATAAGATGGAACAAGCTATTTGGAGTAGAGATCCACTACCAGCCAACTTGACACAACTGTGGGAAGCATTGGAGTCAACATGGGCCAGCATCCCTGTAAAACGCTTTCGACACCTTGTTAGAGTCCATGCCCTGACGAATTGAGGCTGTTCTGAGGGCAAAAGGGGGTGCAACTCAATATTAGGAAGTTGTTCCTAATGTTTTGTAAACTCAGTGTAGTTTATTTAAAATAATAAGAACAATTATAAAAAAATAAATGGTAATTTCCCCCTTCCGTCAGCTCACTCTCGTGCCTCGCTCCAGTTGTAGCCAGACACTACTTTAGCTTATGCACGCGGAGACCCACAATTACACATGCCCATATCCATGAGTTCATCCGACTCTGGGTAAGAGGAAGGGCTGCCTTCATTGCCAAAATCTCGTAATGTGGTTGTTATTAGCTGTGTGTGCAGGCAACGGTCTCATGAGCACTGAGCAGCAGCTAAATGAAGCAGTTGCTATGGCTACTCACAGCCCAAGCGGGAGACAGACGATTTCCACTAGATGGCACAGCCACAAAGTCAAAATTGTCTATATCGTAAAAATGCACGAAAACTAAAATGAACTTTTAGGTTAGGGTTAGGCAGTGTGATTAAGGTTAGGGTTAAAGTTAGGCGGGGGGTTATGACTTTGTGACTGTGGTAACTAGTGATGACCGGGACAAACAGACAGCAGCTAACGGAGGAAGTTATTTCTGATTTCCACGTGTAAAAATGGGCACGTGAGGGATTTTTATCAGGATGGGACAGGAACATTTCTGGGGTTATAAAACTGTTTGCGGGATCAGGACTGTACGGGGATTTTTTTTTTACAGGACAAGACGGGACAGGAATAAATTTTCACTCCCGTGTCAACCTCTAATTTGACATCCCAAGTGCTATTCTGATACCAGCTGTTATGGAAAGAGGTGCTCTGCTTTATAAGCAGTAGGTCTAATATAAATGTGTGTTTTATGTCACATTGAGCTATGATATAATATGTGTTTACATGCATACCCACATATGTACTGTGTTTTACAGAGCTTTTATAAACCTCTGAAAGTGGTTTTGAGTCATAAACTGTTGTCTGGTCTTTTCTCTTTGAAACCTTTTATGAAGTGCTCATATGCTCATCAATTGAAAAGCATATGATCAGTGATGCATCCCGTTAGAAAATCGAGAAATCGGATTTGACTATGCAATGTTTCAATCAGTGTTAGCCTACATCTGATTACTATGCAATGTTTCAATTACTGTTAGGCTACGTCGCATTTTTTTTGCTCGTTATTTTGCTATTCAGTTGTCATTAGGTGGCATCTTATGAACTGAACTTGTAGCTCCCACGCAGAATGTCTCATATTTCTTATTTGCCCCTGGTGTTCCTTCTAGATAACATATTGGGGCACAGTCTTCGCCGCCCGATTTCTCTCATGTCTTTTCTCTCAGCCCCGTCCTCCTTTAGATTACACAGTGCCTGGCTCTACTTCCTCATGCCCTGTACTCTGCCCTTGCAGCCCTTTCACACCATTGTGTCCTTCCACCCCATAGAGCCTAGGCCCTCTTCACCAGAACCCGTAATCAGTGCATTGCTGCCAGTGGAATGCACCACAGGCATTTCCTCTCTTCTCACTAGTCGATATTAGTGTTTCTCTTACCATTATTATCATCAGCGGGCATGAAACCCTACTGAAGGGACTAGGCTGAAAACGAATAAGCATCAAATACTAACCTTAAGTTTGAATTGAAAATTTAACAACACAAGTTTGCCTACAGGCTGACTTGATAATGGTATCCATATGTAAATCTAGATGTAATGCTGCTGTGCCTGCCCCTGTGGTCCTGCTACCAGTCCTGCTGCCTGCCCTTCCAGCCAGATAATTGGCTCTGAATTAGCGCCCCTAATGTGACGGTGCAAAAGGCTGCTCTGTAATGGCCTTTGGCCTTTCGACGGACGCCACGTGTCACACCCAATGATATAAAATGAGCAAGGGTCATGGCTGGGTTATTTCTGTATATTTTTTCAACGGTTGGTCTTAGAATAATGGGGATGGATGCATCAGTGATTTTGCACTCATGGAACTACTTTTTGGGTCTGGGGCGAAGGACGGTACAGTAAAAACATCGTCTTTGATTGATCCTTGATTTTGTGTCCTCACGCGTGTGTGACTGTGAGTGTGTTTCAATTGAACTGTCTAAAATACATATTTTGTAGGTGACAGAATAGTCTATATGGATATTTTATAGTGTTTTTCTCTTTCTTCATGTTTACTCTCTGTTGCCTGGCAACGCAGACATAGTTGTAGCCTGTTACATGCATCCCAGCATCCCCTGTTAACATGTTACGCCTGTCCTGTCTGCCAGCCAGATGTGTGTGTCCACGCACCTGTTCCTTAGGCTCGACTATCAACCTTTTTTGACTATACAGACTACTGCAGATGATCTCCTGTATAGTAGACACATTTGCACACATTATTAGAACTTAGATGAGAACATATTCTCTGCTCTCTGAACTAGCTGTAAGATTTTTTATTGTGGATGAGGATGGATTTGTGGTGGTTCCTGATTTACATATGTTCAAATCATATTTTATTTGCCACATGTGCCGAATACAACAGGTGTAGACATTACAGTGAAATGCTTACTTACAAGCCCTTAACCAACCATGCAGTTAAAAAAAAAAAAAGTAAAAAAAAAAAAAAAAAGTTAATTAAGAAAAAAAATGAATAAAAGCAAATAGCTAAAGAGCAGCAGTAAAATAAAATAGCAGTAGGGAGGCTATATATAGGGGGGTACCGGTACAGAGTCGATGTGCGGGGGCACCGGCTAGTCGAGGTAATTGAGGTCATATGTACATGTGGGTAGAGTTAAAGTGACTATGCATAAATAGTAAACAGAGTAGCAGCAGCGTAAAATAGGTGGATGGGGTGGGGGGGTGCAAATAGTCCGGGTAGCCATGATTAGCTGTTCAGGAGTCTTATGGCTTGGGGGTAGAAGCTGTTGAGAAGCCTTTTGGACCTAGACTTGGTGCTCAGGTATCGCTTGCCGTGCGGTAGCAGAGAGAACAGTCTATGACTAGGTATAGAGGTCCTGGATGGCAGGAAGCTTGACCCCAGTGATGTACTGGTCCTTGCGGTCGGAGGCTGAGCAGTTGCCATACCAGGCGGTGATGCAACCAGTCAGGATGCTCTCGATGGTGCAGCTGTATAACTTTTTGAGGATCTGAGGACCCATGCCAAATCTTTTCAGTCTCCTGAGGGGGAATAGGGTTTGTCGTGCCCTCTTCACGACTGTCTTGGTGTGTTTGGACCATGATAGTTTGTTGGTGATGTGGACACCAAGGAACTTGAAGCTCTCAACCTGTTCCACTACAGCCCCATCGAATGGAATGGGGGCGTGCTCAGTCCTCTTTTTTTTCCTGTAGTCCATAATAATCTCCTTTGTCTTGATCACGTTGAGGGAAAGGTTGTTATCCTGGCACCACACGGCCAGGTCTCTGACCTCCTCCCTATAGGCTGTCTCATTGTTGCCGGTGATCAGGCCTACCACTGTTGTGTCGTCAGCAAACTTAATGATGGTGTTGGAGTCGTGCCTGGCCATGTAGTCATGGGTGAACAGGGAGTACAGAAGGGGACTGAGCACGCACCCCTGAGGGGCCCCCGTGTTGAGGATCAGCGTGGCAGACATGTTGTTACCTACCCTTACCACCTGGGGGCGGCCCATCAGGAAGTCCAGGATCCAGTTGCAGTGGGAGGTATTTAGTCCCAGGATCCTTAGCTTAGTGATGAGCTTTGAGGGCACTATGGTGTTGAACGCTGAGCTGTAGTCAATGAATAGCATTCTCACGTAGGTGTTCCTCTTGTCCAGGTGGGAAAGGGCAGTGTGGAGTGCAATAGAGATTGCATCATCTGTGGATCTGTTGGGGCGGTATGCAAATTGTAGTGGGTCTAGGGTTTCTGGGATAATGGTGTTGATGTGAGCCATGACCAGCCTTTCAAAGCACTTCATGGCTACAGACGTGAGTGCTATGGGTCAGTAGTCATTTAGGCAGGTTATCTTAGTGTCCTTGGGCACAGGGACTATGGTGGTCTGCTTGAAACATGTTAGTATTACAGACTCAGTCAGGGACATGTTGAAAATGTCAGTAAAGACACTTGCCAGTTGGTCAGCACATGCTCGGAGTACACGTCCTGGTAATCCGTCTGGCCCTGCGGCCTTGTGAATGTTGACCTGCTTAAAAGTCTTACTCACATCGGCTATGGAGAGCGTGATCACATAGTCATCCGGAACAGCTGATGCTCTCATGCATGCTTCAGTGTTGCTTGCCTCGAAGCGAGCAGAGAAGTGATTTAGCTCGTCTGGTAGGCTTGTGTCACTGGGCAGTTCGCGGCTGTGCTTCCCTTTGTAGTCTGTAATAGTTTTCAAGCCCTGCCACATCCGACGAGCGTCAGAGCCGGTGTAGTACGATTCAGTCTTAGTCCTGTACTGACTCTTTGCCTGTTTGATGGTTCGTCGGAGGGCATAGCGGGATTCCTTATAAGCTTCCGGGTTAGAGTCCCGCTCCTTGAAAGCGGCAGCTCTACCCTTTAGCTCAGAAGCGGATGTTGCCTGTAATCCATGGCTTCTGGTTGGGGTATGTACGTACGGTCACTGTGGGGACGACATCATCGATGCACTTATTGATGAAGCCAGTGACTGATGTGGTGTACTCCTCAATGCTATCTGAAGAATCCCGGAACATATTCCAATCTGTGCTAGCAAAACAGTCCTGTAGCTTAGCATCTGCGTCATCTGACCACTTTTTTATTAACCGAGTCACTTGTGCTTCCTGCATTTATTTATTATTATTATTTTTTTTTTACCTTTATTTAACCAGGTAAGCCAGTTGAGAACAAGTTCTCATTTACAACTGCGACCTGGCAATACTTTAGTTTTTGCTTATAAGCAGGAATTATGGTCAGATTTGCCAAATGTTAGGTTTATGTGCTTGACAGATATGCCGCACAACGTATAATCATTGCGATGTTATGACCACCATAACTCTTGTTGAATAGCGGCCTTAAAAGCACTGTTTGTTAAATCTGTCCCTCTCTATGTGCCCGGATTTCACTCCCAAATATTTGATACTAATCAGTATTATCAGTCTGTATTTATGTTGTAATTAAAAGTGTGAGGTATTTCCCTGGTTCTATTCACAGGAGGAAAGGCACACGTCCAATATAATATTTCTTTCATTATTCACCTAGGGTTGTTATTCTGTGATACGTCTAATAATAGGGGTGGTGTTGATTTCAAAAGGGCTGGAATGCAACAATTACAAGGCTGCATCTTGGATTTGGCATAGTTGATAGAGTATACAGGATGTCATACCTGTGCAATGTTAACGACACTCTGCATTGCAAGGTGAATAAGGGTTTTTAATTTAATTAGATTAAGTTGAATTGAATATTATTCTGATGACAGTGACATCAGTAAGTTGGGTCTTCGTTTTGTTAGGAGGTAGGAAGGATATGTTTGTCTGGATGTGACGTTAGGGTATTGAAATACATGATGCAGCACAGAGGAGTTTAGGTAGTAGGATCTGATTCATTAAAACATGAATGTACAACCACTGATAGGTGAGACGACTGGGTAGACAAAGTCACTTGGAAAAAGGAGTTAATGAAAATATACTATTTAAGCATTGTATATTTATATATTTTTTTTACCAACTCCGTTTAGTTTTTTTTCTTCCAAATTAAGTTACGTTTTCTCCATTTTGTTTTTACATTTTACATTTTTTTTACATTTTAGTCATTTAGCAGACGCTCTTATCCAGAGCGACTTTCAGTTAGTGAGTGCATACATCTTTCATACTCAGATATTTCCCAGTTTTTCAGGTTTTCGCTCTCAAAATTACACTTAAAAAAAATTCTGGGTCTTGTTGTTCATGTCTGTTCTCTTATGTTTAGATAAGAACTGTACACATGTCTTTCATACCTATACACCATTCTTGTGTGTGTTCAATAAAAAATATTTGAACAGAAAATGTAAATCAATTTATACCATTTTTGACATGAGTTTTTCTGGATTATTTTGTTGTTATTCTGTCTCTCACTGTTCAAATAAACCTACCATTAAAATTATAGACTGATAATTTCTTTGTCAGTGGGCAAACGTACAAAATCAGCAGGGGATCAAATACTTTTTCCCCTCACTGTAGATTGGCATCCAACATAGATTGCAAATCAAATTGAAAACCACCAAAAGTAAAACCTTAAGAAATATTCAAATGAGGCTTTACACCCTATTAACTCAAAGGAAGTAAATTGAAAGTGAAGTGTACTCTGCTGTAGTTTGTTCTTAATTCAAAACAACACAGAAAAGTGTAAAATGGCAAGGGAGTGGATTAAAAATGATACTGAAAAGAATAAATGGCATTTGGAGTTAGATTTAAGCAACTCTCTGAGAGTTGGATAGTGTCGTTTTAACTCCAAAAATATCAACACCATGACCAGAGTAGTTTTAACACAAAATGGGTGTGGGACCATATAAAACCCAAAATAGTGTTACATTTGACTTCATAGGAGGTGAATTAACTCTTGCAATTTTACTGCACATTTTATTTATTTATCAACTCTCAATATTGAGCGTTCTACCACAGTTTTACAACCAAAGTAATTTGTATGGCTTTGAGATACGGAGCACGGGAAGCACGTGACTGCCATTGGCAGTGATTGCATAGGCTAATATAGTCATCATTGGGTAGTAGCAGAGGTTATTTAGGACATTCAATTTGGTGTTAAATTAATCAATTACACTGCTAACTAGCAGTATTTTATATTTAGCGATCTAGCTGAAGAGTTTTGAGTTTTCACTTCCTCAGATGGTGAATTAGCCCCAAATGAATTAGCCTTTCTGATATTAGTACAAACAAAAAGATGTAAACAAATTAATCTGTATTGAACAAAAGAGTTTGAAATTCTGGAGCCCTATTTTGATATAGCAACAATAGCCTAATTGTCAACCCAAAATGTATGACAATCACTGATTTAGGTTGCACATCACAATATCTTGAATTATCCATTCCTGCTGCATGTTATATGAAACAACTTATTTAACCATACTATCTCAGTAGCACTGTGAATGATTTAATAAGATGATTGCACATTTTTTCTTATTGTGTGACGCCATGGCAAAATGTTGGTGCGGCCAAATCATGGGCTGGTGCCACCAAATTAAAATGTTAGTGACACTAATGCACCAGGGTAAATGTTAGTTTGGAGCCCTACCGTAACCTTAATTAATTTCAACCCCTATACCTTACCTTAAGTTTCCATTCTGCCGGTTAAATATACACCTCCTACTATTTTAGACTGTTGGGACACAGCCATGTGCTTGGGCAACACTTCGTGCCCCTGTCCCTGTCCCCATTCTCCACAGAGAAACCCGGTACTGACAAGACCTGTCACTTTGCTGCAGCACGGGGTCTGATATGCACTAGAAGGAGCCAGTCGCCATGGCCTGCCGCTGGCCCCTTTCCCTATTCAATTTCCAGTTTCTACTATATTGGAAAAACCAAAGTTGGGATCAATTCCCTTCCAATCCCAGTCAGGTTAATCCAGCCGATACATTCAAATCAAACCAACAAACAAAGATTTCCACTGAAAAACGGCACATGCTTTGCTGCACTATAGTGTCTGTTTTGTCTGTATAGAGATGTATGCAGCATGCGCATGGATCCTCGCTATGTCCCCAGGGACAGTGGCAGCTCAGTCTCCTGAAATCTCTTTGTGCCCATCACTCACACAGTGGGCTCCAGTTACGGCAGACTTCCCATTCTCCACTAAGGGGGTGGGGTGGTGCTCCATCAAATGGAATGATAATGTATTTGGTTGCATTTGAAGCAGTGACTCGTATTCAACCCCCTCCTCATACAGGATGTGTCTATCACTGTCTCTGCTTAGACCTGTAGTTAAGGTGTCCCAGTGTTGTCTCTAGATCCCATGAGATATTTAGATGTGACAATCCATCTCCCCGTCCCCAGACTCCCTACCCTTCTCTCTCCCCCCCCCCCCCCCACCACACTATCCTTATCTATCTCTCTCTGCCTGTGTCCTCATCCTCTCGCGTAACCATTTGTTTACCATCTCTCGCTCTCTCTCTCTGTGCTTCTCTCACTCGCTCTGTTCCCCCCCCCCTCTCTCTCTCTCTTTCTCTGTTTCTTTCTCTCTCTCTCTCTCCCTGTGACAGTGTTGCAGCGACGCCTGGGAGCCCCAGGACAAATCTGCTGAAACTCCAGGAGAGTTAGTGGAACAACAAACACTCCTCAGTATTGCTTCTGACTAGGGCTGTCTGTGTGGGAGCCCTGCCGTTCTCCATACACACCCTATCACACCACCCCTCAGTCCCCCCTCTCTCACCAGACACCTCACCTTCTGACCTCACTCTGACCCACGTAATTTATGTTGCACCCATAGCTTTAACATTATCCACACGTGTTACTCTGGCATATATCTACTTCAACATTAACCATTACCCTGTCCTATATATTCCTCAACATTATCCATATGTCTTACTCTGTCCTATATCTTCCCCAACAGCACTCTCACAGATTGCAGTCTGAGCTAATATCTCCAGCATGGTTAGGTCACCTTCCGGCCTATATCCTCTAGCCATCTGCAGACATAACCTCTCTATCTCTTTCATTCGCTATATCCCTCTCTTTTTCTATGCATTTCTAAAACCCCAGATTTTTTAAACTGGCTCATGTCATGCTTATTCAGCGTAGGCCTGCGCCATATTACACATCATACTGTAGATATTACTAAAGCAGAGCACTTACTAATAATAGCCACGATGATTATATAAAAAATGCCTTAAGGCAACGTAAACCGTCTAATTTCAAATCCCCCAAATCTTCCAAGAACTAGGAAGTAAAATTTGACAACCTCCTTTCCACCGTATGCCGCCTTCCACCGAGATTAATTTAGCACTGGGCAGCAGCAAAGCCCCAGCTGTGCCCAATAAGCTCGTTAATCATCCAATGCCATCAAACGAGTGGGCAGACGCGGGAGCGAATCGCATTAGCTCCGTTCACGTCGCAGCCACTCAGTGCATTATTGTCAATGCCACCGCATCGGGCTATGATAAAATCAGCCCATTCAGTGAGAAAGGCACTGTCTCTCGCCGTGGTAACGGCTCTCCGTTGGTTTATGGCCCGGTACAGCTTTCAGGGCTTACTATAGTAACTGGTGAAGTGTCCTCATTGTGGAGCGATGTGCTCAGTCTTCAGCTGTCTACATCTGTCTTCTGGGGGACCAATGATGGGGGGAGGGGGGTTGTGGTGTTCGGTGTGTGTGTGTGTGCGCGCACGTGTGTGTCTGTGTTCGGTGTGGGTTTGTGGCATGTGTGTTTTTGGTTTATGGTTTGGGCTCTTTTTGAAAAACGGTCTAGCATAGGATGCCATGTGCATAAATGAATTATTGATGTATTTGTCAGGTAATGACTCTTTGCATTAGCTTGCTTTATTCTCAAGTATAAGAACACACATTGACTTAATTTCTCCATATTCTGACCATGGGCTATGAGCTCACAAGATAGATTGAAATGTGTAGAAAAAGAGGGAGAACGGTGAAGAGATGTAGGAGAGAGGATGGAGAGGGTGAGGAGCGAATGAAGAGAGAAATATTGAGAGAGAGAAGGGCATGGATAGAGAGAGGGAGAAAGGGATAGAGAAAGGGGTTGTGAGAGAGTAAGGGATAGAGAGAGAGAGGGATAGAGAGAAGGAGAAAGGAAGAGCGAGAGAGCAGGACTCTGTCTTCTCCCCTCCCCAGTGGTATTAATTAGGAGCTCCAGATGAGTGGAGGAGCCCTGAGGGGGAACACGGTTCATGTCAGGCCAAGCGTACTGGAGCTTTACTATATGGTACAGGAGCTACAGACAGACAGGCTGGGAGAGGCTCTTATCTCCATGGGTTTCCACTATACCATTACTTAGTGCTGCTAGCCATGGAATGATGTTTGTTTAAGACTGTTAAATCACATATCACAAATGTCTCCATTGCATAATTAACCACCTAATACAGTTCTGGACCGTTTTTTCCAGACCCAGATTAAGCCTAGTCTTGGGCAAAAATGCAGTTTTAAATGGAGGCATAGTCTGTATCCGGCAAACCGGCCATTCAACTTTTCTTGAACTGTAAAACAATAGAGCATGGTGAAATAATAGATGATCCAGGTACTGACTGTATCATCTTCTTCTTGCTAACAGGTGCCTGGGAGGGTATGATTGGCTGGTAGTTTGCGCAAAAGTATAATAGTTAATCTTACTCATGCAGACCAAGTGAAAAGCTACTCGTCCTCTTCTTTTTATGTATTGAAAAAACATATATTATTTTCTATGCTGTCATGATTCTGTTAATGAAAACATGTCTAACAGCCCCCCCTTTTCTCTCCTCTCTATCTCCCCTCTTCTCTCTCTTTTCTCCCAGAACTCAATACGGCATAATCTGTCCCTAAACAAGTGTTTTCTCAAAGTGCCTCGCTCTAAAGATGACCCTGGAAAAGTAAGTATTCCCTGACCATTATAGTCTATGAGTACATATTTAACACTAGAACCGCTTGGCCATGAGGGACCCCCCTTCAAGCTAATGAGCAGTCATTCTGACTGCAACATTCTAACAGTGTAATTAATACATTTCATATATGCTACGCAAAAATTATAATTTGGTTGTGTTTATGAAGGCCTTAGGTAATATTAGAATAGAAAAATATGTATTTCAAATAACACAATAGCATTTTCATTAGTTTATGTTACTGTAGGCTATATGTAAAAAAATCTATAATAATTTAAAGTGTTCAATCAATGTTATTCGTGGAGTGCCTTTGTTACAACTATGAAACAGAAAGCATATGTGTTGGAACGTTGTAACAGCTTCTTTTTATAAAGACGACATTTAAAAAATACCCTAACCATCAAGATGCACGGTCATCAAGACGCGCGGTCAAATGATGAAAACACCAGTAGCCTAAAAATCAAGCACCAAGTCTGCTTGTTAAATAGTGAAAATCAGCACAAAATCAATAATGGTGGCATAATGAACATACTTTAAGTGTCGATATGACAGCAGTCAAAAATTGTCAATTATTGCCAGCTCGTGCTTACAGTTGAAGTAAGAAGTTTACATACACCTTAGCCAAATACATTTAAACTCAGTTTTTCACAATTCCTGACATTTAATCCTAGTAAAAATTCCCTGTCTTAGGTCAGTTAGGATCACCACTTTATTTTAAGAATGTGAAATGTCTTAATAATAGTAGAGCGAATGATTTATTTCAGCTTTTATTTCTTTTATCACATTCCCAGTGGGTCAGAAGTTTACATACACTCAATTAGTATTTGGTAGCATTGCCTTTAAATTGTTTAACTTGGGTCAAACGTTTCGGGTAGCCTTCCACAAGCTTCCCACAATAAGTTTGGTGAATTTTGGCCCATTCCTCCTGACAGAGCTGGTGTAACTGAGTCAGGTTTGTAGGCCTCCTTGCTCGCACACGCTTTTTCAGTTCTGCCCACAAATTTTCTATAGGATTGAGGTCAGGGCTTTGTGATGGCCACTCCAATACCTTGACTTTGTTGTCCTTAAGCCATTTTGCCACAACATTGGAAGTATGCTTGGGGTCATTGACCATTTGGAAGACCCATTTGCGACCAAGCTTTAACTTCCTGACTGATGTCTTGAGATGTTGCTTCAATATATCCACATAATTTTCCTTCCTCATGATGCCATCTATTTTGTGAAGTGCACCAGTCCCTCCTGCAGCAAAGCACCCCCACAGCATGATGCTGCCACCCTCGTGCTTCACGGTTGGGATGGTGTTCTTCGGCTTGCAAGGCACCCCGTTTTCCTCCAAACATAACGATGGTAATTATGGCCCAACAGTTATATTTTTGTTTCATCAGACCAGAGGACATTTCTCCAAAAAGTACGATCTTTGTCCCCATGTGCAGTTGCAAACCGTAGTCTGGCTTTTTTATGGCGGTTTTGGAGCAGTGGCTTCTTCCTTGCTGAGCGCGCTTTCAGGTTATGTCGATAGAGGACTCGTTTTACTGTGGATATAGATTATATTGTACCTGTTTCCTTCAGCATCTTCACAAGGTCCTTTGCTGTTGTTCTGGGATTGATTTGCTCTTTTCGCACCAAAGTACGTTCATCTCTAGGAGACAGAACGCGTCTCCTTCCTGAGCGGTATGACGGCTGCGTGGTCCCATGGTGTTTATACTTGCATACTATTGTTTGTACAGATGAATGTGGTACCTTCAGGCGTTTGGAAATTTTTCCCAAGGATGAACCAGACTTGTGGAGGTCTACAATATTTTTTCTGAGGTCTTGGCTGATTTCTTTTGATTTTCCCATGATGTCAAGCAAATAGTTTGAATGACTCCAACCTAAGTGTATGTAAACTTCCGACTTCAGCTCTACATGGTGTGCGTCTTCACACAATGGCATCAGTTGGAGCATGTCTATGTCACATAAACAACAAAAGCTGGTGAGTGTGTCACTGATGTTGTTTTTTGCTTGAGATGTAGGGCCTGCTCTCTCAGTGATAGCATTTTGTGCTGATAATCGGCCGTAGCATTGTCACCGGCTTGTTCTATCCAAACAGGGCCATCCCTTCCTCTCTCCTGTCTCACCATTTCATTTGGTGGTGGCGCTGGCACCTGCACAGTGCGCACCATTCTGGCTTTGTTGCGCTAAGGCCTCGGGGGTGTACAGTGCCTTCAGAAAGTATTCATACCCCTTGACTTATTCCACATTTTGTTGCATTACAGTCTGAATTCAAAATTGATTAAATTGATTTTTTAAATCACCCATCTACACACAGTACCCCATAATGACAAAGTGAAAACAGGTTTTTAGAATTTTGGCCATATTTATTGAAAATCAAATAAAGAAATATCAAATATACATAGGTATTTACACCCCTTTGCTATGACACTCCACATTGAGCTCAGGTGCATCCAATTTCCTTTGATCATCCTACAACTTCATTGGAGTCCACCTGTGTCCAATTCAATTGTTTGGACATGATTTAGAAAGAAACCTGTCTATATGTGACTGACCGCCTTGATTCGGTCTAAAGTAGCAACATTTGAAATTGTGTTTTTTACATTGGATAAAAGCAGAGACACAGAGCTACACCATGCTATATCATACACTGCATTTAAGGGAACAATGGGAAAGTAATTCTGCTTTGAAAGTTGATAAACTTGTAATCTCACTTTTGAGAAATTGGCCTTTGAATGTTTTGGTACCTAGTGAAGAGCTCTTCTTTGTCCACAACCATTCAGGATCGTTCACACCCTCTAAAGCTTTAGCCCCACCGATCTCGTTTCGCTCTCGGAGCGTTCAGAGCGCACACTTGATGCTCTGGCCGATGAGTAGGGTTGATCCAAGCGTTCTGACCTCACAACGGCAGTCAATCACCCAAGCTAACTGGCTAACATTGGCGAGCTTGCTATTTACTTTCAGACACAAAATTGGGATTATGGTTCATTGTTTACCTCTGGATAACATGAAAACAGCCTAACCAGCTCTGCTGGCAACAATTTAATTACGCTTTTTTTGCCGACATTTACTGACACCGGCCATATTCAATGGGTGTTGTGCATTTGTAAATTCATCAGTTATTCTGCGCTCTGGCATACTCAGACTGAATTTACAAACGCACCTGAAATGGTTACTTGCATAGTGGAGTCTTTTGTTAAGACATGTAGCTAGCTAGCTAGGTAAACAATGAATCTAGCTAGGTAAACAACGTGTAAGATCATTCATGTCACGTAACGTTAGCTAGCGAGCCAGCCCGCTAATATTAGCTAGTTAAATATTGAACCATAGTGTCAACTCATGTCGTTACTACCCTGCATGAATCTGCTGGTAGCTAACCAACCAGGTTCAATGTTAGCTAGCTAACATTAGGCTCTAACTAGCCAAGCAAATGGCTCTGAGATGCGAATAATAACATCATACACATAACTAGCTAGCTAACAGTACACTTTAACTTGAAATGAAACCACTTTCTGTCAAAATTAGAAACGTGTAATATCTGGAAATGTAGCTAGCTAGACTATCTTACCCGTATACATCATGCATGATGGACGCGTCTCCCTGTCACGAATGCCATGGTTGCCCTTAGTTTGAAGATGTAATCCGGAGACAGGTGTTTTCTCCATCTCTTTAGCTATCATACTCTAATTCCACTGATTTCAAAACTCGATCCTCCAGAAAGTGAAGAGCAACACTTATGCAGCTCCACTACACGATACATTAAAAAAAGCTGCGTTAGACAGGATTACTTACACATACTGATCAGCTCAAATAGACAGAAGCCTTCTATATGGCAGACCAATCCGAACTCCTCTCTCGGCATGTCCAGCCCACTCATTTTCTCAGCCAATCATGGCTAGTGGGAAGATTGCTGTCTTTTTATGTGGCTTAACCAACTAGGCTCGTAATTTAACAATGTTATTCGTATTTACAGATGGCATACACGTTTTGTTATTAAGGCACATGAAAGTTCACATGTTCCAGAAGGCATTTCTGCCAAAAAATGCATTTTGATAAATAAATAAAAGTTTGCATTAAAATGGCTCTCCTTGTTTCCTGAAACAAGTCACATATAAGGTCCCACAGTTGACAGTGCATATCAGAGCAGAAACTATACCATGAAGTCCAAGGAACTATCCGTAGATCTCCGAAATAGAATTGTGATGAGGCATATATCTGGGGAAGGGTATAAAACAATTTGTGGAGTGTTGAAGGTTTCCAAGAGCACATCATTGGGAAATGGAAAAAATATGGAACTACCCAGACTCTGCCTAGAGCTGACCAAGCTGAGCAATACCAGGCAAGAAGGACCTTGGTCAGGGAGGTGATCAAGAACCCAATGACCACTCTGACAGACGGAAGCCACTCCTGAGAAAAAGGAACATGACAGCATGCCTGGAGTTTGCAAAAGGCATGTGAAAGACTCTGAGAGCATAAGGTAAAAGATTTTGTGGTCTGATGAGACAAAAATGTAACTCTTTGGCCTGAATGCAAAGTGCTATGTCTGTAGAAACCAGGCACAGCTCATCACCCATCTAAAACTATCCCTACCGTGAAGCATGGTGGTGGCAGCATCGTGCTATAGGGATGCTTTTCAGTGGCAGGGACTGTGAGACTGGTAAGGATAGAATGCACTAACTGTAAGTCGCTCTGGATAAGAGCGTCTGCTAAATGACTAAAATGTAAATGTAAAATGATAGAAGGAACAATGAATGGAGAAAAATACAGGTAAATCCCTGATGAGAACCTGCTTCAGAGTGCAAACGACCTTAGACTGGGCCAAATATTTACTTTCCAACAGGACAATGACCCCAAGCATATAGCCAAAGCAACGCTGGAAAGCTTTAAAACAAGAATGTGAAAGTCCATGAGTGGCCCAGACTTGAATCCCATTGAAAATCTGTGGAAAGACTTAAATATTGCTGCTCACTGCCACTCCCCATCTGACTTAACAGAGCTTGAGAAAATCTGCAGCAAAGAATGGGAGGACATTTTCAAATCCAGATGTGTAAAGCTGATACAGATGACTCAAAGCTGTAATTGCTGCCGAAGGTGCTTCTACAAAGTATTGAATCAGGGGTGTGAATACTTATGTAAGTTAAATATTTCTGTATTTCATTTTCAATACATTAGCAAAATTTTCTAAAAACATGTTTTCACTTTGTCATTATGGGGTATTTAATCCATTTTGAATTCAGGCTGTAACACAACAAAATGTGGAATAAGTCAAGGGGTATGAATACTTTCTGAAGGCACTGCAGATTCAGGCTGAGGCTCAGAATTAGAAGAATAATCATCATAGATGTCATGATTCATTTCTTCCCCACCATCTGAGTCATTTTCATTCAGATTTTATAGCATCGCTAACATAGCATGTGCATCCATTAATCTTGGTCTTCTTGCCATTGTAAATTACGCACGCTCTCACTGTGTACTCCAAGTAGGCCAGAGTAGACAGATAGGACTGCTTGGATTCGGTCGACAGATATAAGGTATACCATTTTGAAATTAGAATTAGAATAGATCAATACAATATAATGGGCCGCCCTGTTCTTCATTCACAATTGGTGATTACATAATTATGTTTCATTCGCCTCCCCTCGCTCATCAACTCACCCATATTCCCCCTTTTTCTCCCCATCATACTTTCCTTCATTTATTTCATCTGTTAAATGTGTGAAATTAGTTTGGGTATAGTTTAGGTTCAGTTTCGAGGCAATTATCAGGGTGATTATCAACTGTGCACGGCACCTTCGGGTGATTATCAACTGGGCATGGCACCGGGAGAAGGAGGGGAACAGTCCCTACTGTCGGGAGAAGGATGGGCAACCGTGGAAAACCATTCAAAAAATGACATGCCCTCCTAAAACTCATTATAACTCCGACAAGGACAGAGGGGGGCATGACTTAAAAATGTGCAGAGTAATATATTTATTTATTTATTTATTCATGAGCTGTCCAAATGACTGTTTTTCATGGTTCCAATGTTAACTTTGAATGACCACCTGTTTTGGTAGGAGAAAGCAGAGTCAAGTGTGTTTCATATCAAATTGCCTACCAATGAGGTTTAAAATTGTTGATTAGACTAAATGTAAAAACACAAACAATTAGTGAAGCCCTTTTTTAAGTTAACATAATTTTATAATATTATTAAGTGTACTGTATCTGCACTCGTGAATACCGTGATGTGCCGAGTGTATGTAAGAATATTGCAAAAAATGTTCTACCTACAGTGAGGGAAAAAAGTATTTGATCCCCTGCTGATTTTGTACGTTTGCCCACTGGCAAATAAATTATCAGTCTATAATTTTAATGGTAGGTTTATTTGAACAGTGGGAGACAGAATAACAACAAAAATATCCAGAATAACGCATGTCAAAAATGTTAATTGATTTGCATTTTAATGAGGGAAATAAGTATTTGACCCCCTCTCAATCAGAAAGATTTCTGGCTCCCAGGTGTCTTTTATACAGGTAACGAGCTGAGATTAGGAGCACACTCTTAAAGGGAGTGCTCCTAATCTTAGCTTGTTACCTGTATAAAAGACACCTGTCCACAGAAGCAATCAGTCAATCAGATTCCAAATTCTCCACCATGGCCAAGACCAAAGAGCTCTCCAAGGATGTCAGGGACAAGATTGTAGACCTACACAAGGCTGGAATGGGCTACAAGACCATCGCCAAGGTGGAAATCCCCATCAACTGAGGATGAGGGGTCTCCATTATGTAGATGTCAAAAAAATTATGTTGAATAATAATAAACTACATTTATCAATCTGACTCCATTATTATGTGAATGCTATAGGCCCATAGTTGTATCCAGTGGGTATAGCCAAGGTTGCGAGCCTTGCGTCACCCTTCGGAATACTATAAGATGCACATCTCTAGGTTTACCATTATGCAATTATTATTATAATTTATTTTTATTTTTCAGGGGGTAGATCAGCTTTAATATTTCAGAGAGATTGTAACTTCCATCAATGTAATTGTCTGCATCACTTCAAATCCCCCATATGTTTTTTTCTCTCGCAATATATATATATATATATATATATATATACAGTGGGGAAAACAGGTATTTGGTACACTGCCGATTTTGCAGGTTTTCCTACTTACAAAGCATGTAGAGGTCTGTCATTTTTATCATAGGTACACTTCAACTGTGAGAGACGGAATATAAAACAAAAATCCAGAAAACCACATTGTATGATTTTTAAGTAATTAATTTGCATTTTATTGCATGACATAAGTATTTGATCACCTACCAACCAATAAGAATTCCGGCTCTCACAGGCCTGTTAGTTTTTCTTTAAGAAGCACTCCTGTTCTCCACTCATTACCTGTATTAACTGCACCTGTTTGAACTCGTTACCTGTATAAAAGACACCTGTCCACATACTCCAACATCTCCACAATGGCCAAGACCAGAGAGCTGTGTAAGGACATCAGGGATAAAATTGTAGACCTGCCACAAGGCTGGGATGGGCTACAGGACAATAGGCAAGCAGCTTGGTGAGAAGGCAACAACTGTTGGCGCAATTATTAGAAAATGGAAGAATTTCAAGATGACGGTCAATCACCCTCGGTCTGGGGCTCCATGCAAGATCTCACCTTGTGGGGCATCAATGATCATGAGGAAGGTGAGGGATCAGCCCAGAACTACACGGCAGGACCTGGTCAATGACCTGAAGAGTGCTGGGACCACAGTCTCAAAGAAAACCATTAGTAACACACTACGCCGTCATGGATTAAAATCCTGCAACGCACACAAGGTCCCCCTGCTCAAGCCAGCGCATGTCCAGGCCCATCTGAAGTTTGCCCATGACCATCTGGATGATCCAGAAAAGGAATGGGAGAAGGTAATGTGGTCTGATGAGACAAAAATTGAGCTTTTTGGTCTAAACTCCACTCGCCGTGTTTGGAGGAAGAAGAAGGATGAGTACAACCCCAAGAACACCATCCCAACCGTGAAGCATGGAGCTGGAAACATCATTCTTTGGGGATGCTTTTCTGCAAAGGGGACAGGACGACTGCACCGTATTGAGGGGAGGATGGATGGGGCCATGTATCGCGAGATCTTGGCCAACAACCTCCTTCCCTCAGTAAGAGCATTGAAGATGGGTCGTGGCTGGGTCTTCCAGCATGACAACGACCCGAAACACACAGCCAGGGCAACTAAGGAGTGGCTGCGTAAGAAGCATCTCAAGGTCCTGGAGTGGCCTAGCCAGTCTCCAGACCTGAACCCAATAGAAAATCTTTGGAGGGAGCTGAAAGTCCGTATTGCCCAGCGACAGCCCCGAAACCTGAAGGATCTGGAGATGATCTGTATGGAGGAGTGGGCCAAAATCCCTGCTGCAGTGTGTGCAAACCTGGTCAAGACCTACAGGAAACGTATGATCTCTGTAATTGCAAACAAAGGTTTCTGTACCAAATATTAAGTTCTGCTTTTCTGATGTATATAATACTTATGTCATGCAATAAAATGCAAATTAATTACTTAAAAATCATACAATGTGATTTTCTGGATTTTTGTTTTAGATTCCGTCTCTCACAGTTGAAGTGTACCTATGATAAAAATTACAGACCTCTACATGCTTTGTAAGTAGGAAAACCTGCAAAATCGGCAGTGTATCAAATACTTGTTCTCCCCACTGTATATGTGTATATATGTGTATATATATATATATTGCGGGGGAAAAAAACATATGGGGGATTGGAAGTGATGCAGACACACATACATATACAGTGAGCACCATAATTCATTGGACAGTGACCATTTTTTTGTTATTTTGGTTCTGTACTCTAGACTTTGAGTTTGAAAGGATACAATGACAATGAGGGTGAAGTGCAGACTGTCAGCTTTAATTAGTGGGTATTTTCAGACATATCGGATGAACCGTTTAGAAATGACAGCACCTTTTGTACATGGTCCCCCCATTTTAAGGTACTACAAGTATTTGTTATATTGGCTTCACAGATGTGTGTCGTTAGGCAGGTGTATTCATTTGTGTCGTTAGTGAATGCAGGAGAGCTGTTGATGAATAGTATTGATTCTAGACTTTGCTATTGCCTTTGGAGGTTGTTGTTGGGGTGTGACAACATGAGGAAGACAGCAGTGTCGATGTAAATGAAGCTGGCCGTCATAAAGCTCAGAAATGAAAATCAATCAATCAGGAACATTGCAAAAACCCTGGCCATGCCCAAGTCAACAGTTTGGTTCATCATTAACAAGAAAAAAACAACCGGTGAACTCAATTATGTAAAATTACCCGGTAGACCGAGGAAGACCACTGTAGTGGATGACCGGAGAATACTCTCTATGGTGAAGAAAATCCCCCTGACATCAGCCCAACAGATCAAATACACTCTCCTGGATGCAGGTGTAGATGTGTAAAAGTCTACCATACGTAGAAGACTACACCAGCAGGACTACAGAGGGTACACTACAAGATGCAAACCACTGATAAGCCTGAAGAACAGAAAGGCGAGATGACAGTTTGCTAAAAAGCACCTAAAAGAGCCCCAAGAGTTCTGGAAAAAAGTATTGTGGACAGATGAGACAAAGATTAACATGTACCAGAGTGATGGAAAGAGGAAAGTGTGGAGAGAAAAAAGAAATGCCCATGATCCAAAGCATACCACCTCATCTGTGAAACATGGTGGAGGGGGTGTTATGGCTTGGGCCTGTATGGCTGCCAGTGGAACAGGCTCACTTGTCTTCATCGATGATGTGACTGCAGACAGAAGTAGAACAATGAATTCTGAAGTCTACAGAAATATTTTATCTGCTCAGATAAAACCAAATGCCTCCAAACTCATTGGACGGCACTTCATCATGCAACAAGACAATGACCCTAAACATACTGCTAGAGCAACGAAGGGGTTTTTGATGGCCAAAAAGTGGAAAATCCTTGACTGGCCGATTCAATCACCGGATCTGAATCCAATTGAAAATGCATTTTACATGCTGAAGAGGAGACTGAAGGCAATAAGTCCCCGAAACAAGCAGGAACTGAAGATGGCTGCAATACAGGCCTGGTAGAGCATCACCAGGGAAGATACCCAGCGTCTGGTGATGTCGATGCATCGCAGACTTCAAGCAGTCATTGCATGCAAAGGATATGCGACCAAATATTAACAATGATTACTTTATTCTACATTATGTTAAACTGTCCAATGTTTTTTGATGCCCGAAAATGGGGGGGACCATGTACAAAAGCTTCTATAATGTCTAAACATTATGTATGAGAATACCCTCAAATTAAAGCTGACAGTCTGCACTTCACCCTCATTGTCATTGTATCCTTTCAAACTCAAAGTATTTGATCCCCTGCTGATTTTGTACGTTTGCCCACTAACAAAGAAATGATCAGTCTATAATTTTAATGGTAGGTTTATTTGAACAGTGAGAGACAGAATAACAACAAAAATATCCAGAATAACTCATGTCAAAAATGTAATAAATTGATTTGCATTTTAATGAGGGAAATAAGTATTTGACCCCCTCTCAATCAGAAAGATTTCTGGCTCCCAGGTGTCTTTTATACAGGTAACGAGCTGAGATTAGGAGCACACTCTTAAAGGGAGTGCTCCTAATCTCAGCTTGTTACCTGTATAAAAGACACCTGTCCACAGAAGCAATCAATCAATCAGATTCCAAACTCTCCACCATGGCCAAGACCAAAGAGCTCTCTAAGGATGTCAGGGACAAGATTGTAGACCTACACAAGTCTGGAATGGGCTACAAGACCATCGCCAAGCAGCTTGGTGAGAAGGTGGCAACAGTTGGTGCGATTATTCGCAAATGGAAGAAACACAAAAGAACTGTCAATCTCCTTCGGCCTGGGGCTCCATGCAAGATCTTACCTCGTGGAGTTGCAATGATCATGAGAACGGTGAGGAAACAGCCCAGAACTACACGGGAGGATCTTGTCAATGATCTCAAGGCAGCTGGGACCATAGTCACCAAGAAAACAATTGGTAACACACTACGCCGTGAAGGACTGAAATCCTGCAGCACCCGCAAGGTCCCCCTGCTCAAGAAAGCACATATACATGCCCGTCTGAAGTTTGCCAATGAACATCTGAATGGTCCTCTGTAGCTCAATTGGTAGAGCATGGCGCTTGTAACGCCAGGATAGTGGGTTCGATCCCCGGGACCACCCATACGTAAACATTTATGCGCACATGACTGTAAGTCGCTTTGGATAAAAGCGTCTGCTAAATGGCATATTATTATTATTATTATTATTATTATTATTATTATTATTATTATTATAACTGGGTGAAAGTGTTGTGGTCAGATGAGACCAAAATCGAGCTCTTTGGCATCAACTCAACTCGCCGTGTTTGGAGGAAGAGGAATGCTGCCTATGACCCCAAGAACACCATCCCCACCATCAAACATGGAGGTGGAAACATTATGCTTTGGGGGTGTTTTTCTGCTAAGGGGACAGGACAACTTCACCGCATCAAAGGGACGATGGATGGGGCCATGTACTGTCAAATCTTGGGTGAGAACCTCCTTCCCTCAGCCAGGGCATTGAAAATGGGTTGTGGATGGGTATTCCAGCATGACAATGACCCAAAACACACGGCCAAGGCAACAAAGGAGTGGCTCAAGAAGAAGCACATTAAGGTCCTGGAGTGGCCTAGCCAGTCTCCAGACATTAATCCCATAGAAAATCTGTGGAGGGAGCTGAAGGTTTGAGTTGCCAAACGTCAGCCTCGAAACCTTAATGACTTGGAGAAGATCTGCAAAGAGGAGTGGAACAAAATCCCTCCTGAGATGTGTGCAAACCTGGTGGCCAACTACAAGAAACGTCTGACATAACTCCACCAGTCCTACCGATAATATCATTTACGAAGATTATACCTTTTTTTAAAATTTTGTCCAAAAAAAAGGTTTTCTATCAATTAGTATATTTGAGTTTAACCACAATATTTGTTGCATTATTTGTTCTGTCGTTTCTGGAGGATTAAATTGAAATTGCAACTAACTTTCTATGGCTTGTTTTAGAAATAGTGATATTTGGGAGATTATTTCCTTTTCAAATAATTTAAAGTGAGAGGTTGTAATCTGAATAAAGGGGAAAAGGCCATTCTTGAACATTGGGTGAGACAATTTTACAAATTTTCTAGAGAACCAGTTTGGATTTAAGTGTAACTTTTGTATGACTAAAAGCTTCAGTGATAGGTCTAATGCTTTAATATTTAATAATTTCTGTCCTCCAAATTCATAATCATTATATAAATAGGCCCGTTTAATTTTGTCTGGTGTGCCGTTCCAAATCAAATGGAATATTTTTTTAGTGATCCAATACGTAATATAGTACATTTTACATAATTTTGTTGTAATCCAGAGAGGTTAGAAAATGTATCTAGATCCTCTATGAGGCTGTGGAACGATTCAAGTTGTGGATTTAAAAGAAAACATACTATTCTATAAGATGCACATCTCTAGGTTTACCATTATGCAATTATTAAGAGACTAAGGAACAAGTAGCTGTCACGGATTCTGCCGAGGTTGCCCCTCCTTGCTCGGGCAGGCTGCGGCGTTCGTCATCACCGGAATACTAGCTACTGCCGATCTATGTTTCTATGTTGCACCTGTTGTCTAATGTCACACACCTGTTGCCCATTATTGTCATCACGTCTTCCCTATTTAACCCAGTGGCTCCCAATGTGTTTTGTGCGTGGTTGTTTTTCGTTTCGTGTGTCGTTGGTGAGCGGGTTAGTTCCTTCCTGTGTGGAGGTATTTCTGTGTTGTTTTCTTTACTCATTTTCAGTAAAGTACGTTTCTTCGAGTTCTGTGTCCTGCGCCTGACTTCGATCCACCGCATTACACTGACACTCGTTACAGTAGCTAATATCTTGCAATCAATGTCTTAGCATTAAATTATTGAGTTAACCTTAGCTCCGATATGCACAGAGAGACCGAGCATACAGTATACAGTGCATTCGGAAAGTATTCAGACCCCTTTCCACATTTTGTTACGTTACAGCCTTATTCTAAAATTGATTAAGTTGAGGGGGTTTTCTCATCAATCTACACACCATACCCCATAATGACAAAGCAAAAACAGGTTTTTAGAAATTTTTGAAAATGTAATTTATAAAAAATAAAAACATATTACATTTACATAAGCACCTTTGGCAGCGATTCTTCTTCTTGGGTATGACTCTACAAGCTCAGCACACCTGTATTTGGGAAGTTTCTCCCATTCTTCTCTGCAGATCACCTCTGTCAGGTTGGATGGGGAGTGTCGCTGCACAGCTATTTTCAGGTCTCTCCAGAGATGTTCGATCGGGTTCAAGTCCGGGCTCTGGCTGGGCCACTCAAGGACATTCAGAGACTTGTCCCAAAGCCACTCCTGCGCTGTTTTGGCTTTGTGCTTAGGGTTGTTGTCCTGTTGGAAGGTGAACCTTTGCCCCAGTCTGAGGTCCTAAGCACTCTGGAGCAGGTTTTCATCAAGGATCTCTCTGTACTTTGCTCCGTTCATCTTTCCCTCGATCCTGACTAGTCTCCCAGTCCCTGCCACTGAAAAACATCCCCACAGCATGATGCTGCCACCATCATGCTTCACCGTAGGGATGGTGTTGGCCAGGTGATGAGCGGTGCCTGGTTTCTTCCAGACGTGATGCTTGACATTCAGGCCACAGAGTTCAATCTTGGTTTCATCAGACCATTTAAGACTGATGGAGGCCACTGTGTTCTTGGGGACCTTCAATGCTGCAGACATTTTTTGGAGACTCTTCCCCAGATCTGTGCCTTGACACAATCCTGTCTCGGAGCTCTACGGACAATTCCTTCGACCTCATGGCTTGGTTTTTGCTCTGACATGCACTGTCAACTGTGGGGCCTTATATAGACAGGTGTGTGCCTTTCCAAATCATGTCCAATCAATTAAATTGACCACAGGTGGACTCCAATCAAGTTGTAGAAACATCTCAAGGATGATCAATGGAAACAGGATGCACCTGAGCTCAATTTTGAGTCTCATAGCAAAGGGTCTGAATACTTATGTAAATAAGGTATTTCTGGTTTTTATTTGTAATAACTTTGCTAAAACTTCTAAAAACCTGTTTTCGCTTTGTCATTATGGGGTAGTGTGTGTAGATTGATGAGGGGGAAAATGTAATTTAATCCATTTCAGAATAAGGCTGTAACGTGTATATAGGCTTAAATTACATTTTACATTTTAGTCATTTAGCAGACGTTCTTATCCAGAGCGACTTACAGGGGCAATTAGGGTTAAGTGCCTTGCTCAAGGGCACATCGACAGATTTTTCACCTAGTCGGCTCGGGGATTAGAACCAGCGACCTTTCGGTTACTGGCACTACGCTCTTAACCACTAAGCTACCTGCCGCCCAATGGCATCAGTGATGATGTACAGTGCTTTCAGAAAGTATTCATATCCCTTGACTTACTCCACATTTTGTTGTGTTACAGCCTGAATTCAAAATGGATTAAATAAATAAAACTCTCACCCATCTACACACAATACCCCATAATGACTAAATGAAACATGTTTGAAGAATCTTTTGCAAATGTATCGAAAATGAAATAGAGAAATATCTATTTTACATAAGTATTCACACCCCAAGTCAATACTTTGTAGACTCACTTTTGGCAGTGATTACAGCTGTGAGTCTTTCTGGGTAAGTCTCTAAGAGCTTTCCACACCCGGATTGTGCAACATTTGCTCATTATTATTTTCAAAATTCTTCAAGTGCTGTCAAATTGGTTGTTGATCATGCTAGACAACCATTTTTGGAAAAAGTCAAGGGGTGTCAATACTTTTTGAAGGCACTGTACGAGTGAAAAAGTATGGTCACATTTCATTTGTTAAACCTATCCTTTGGCATGACTTCAATAGTGAATCTATTTAGTTTTTAAGTGGAGATCTCTCAACAATCATTTTCACGATAGCACATTGGTAATAGTCAGTGACAAATATCAAAGCTAAGCTGGGCTGGGATTGGTTAAAACCCTGGATGAGATACCACAGGGTAGCTGTAGATAGATCAATGCTCCAGTAGGAGGTGCTGCCCAGGTTGTTTTTTTTCTGTGCTGGATCTAACATTGAAAATCTGACGTTTTATAGGTACAAATTCAACATATCGAGAGCTTGGGACTATAAGGTTCTATCGGCAAAAATATGATTCTGAGATAGTTGGCTTTAAAGTTCCGAACTCTAGTTGGTTTGAATGGTGTCAGCTATTTTTATATTGTATTCTTTTGAACTTAACAACATGAATTGGGGTAGTTAGAGTAATATAAAGGTAGATAACATTGAATAGAACAAGGCTATGTCAATAACTACATAAAATAAAATAATGCAAATAGAACCTTATAGTCCCAAGCTCTCTATATTTTATATGAAGTTTGTCTGTGTTGAAATGTGGTTACTGTAACCATCCAACCTTTTTATGCGAGTAAAGTACATAAAAAATGTAATGACAGCCCAGATGGAAACCGCAGATTTGTCTATAAACTTTCAAAATATCGACAAACAGAATACGCTAGACAAGGTGGGATCTTTTTGTGTCGGTTAAATTCATTATGTGAGAGATGGCGGTGGAAACACCTTTATGCACAGATATTGATATAATAACCATCATATCAAAGTAAACTTGGAGTCACACAATTATATGTTGTGTGGTCCCGCGATGATATGATGTAATGACGCGGAAAGCATGCAGTTTATTAGTCTACAGATTAAATAAGTTATGATGAACTTCACAGGGTGGTGAAAGTGCACAGTGATGAGCTTGATGCTCCTTTCCAATAAATATTGAGGGTCTTATTCTGGTTACATTTTTACATTACATTTTCGTCATTTAGCAGACGCTCTTATCCAGAGCGACATACAAATTGGTGCATTCACCTTATAGCCAGTGGGACAGCCACTTTACAATATATTTTAAAAAAATGGGGGGGGGGGGGTAGAAGGATTACTTTTATCCTATCCCAGGTATTCCTTAAAGAGGTGAGGTTTCAAGTGTCTCCGGAAGGTGGTGAGTGACTCCATTGTCCTGGCGTCGAAAAAATAATCTTGCTCTTTTGTCCATAATAATCTCATCATGTAGGCTAGCCTACCCGCATTGTATATCTGTGAGCTCTTGGCTAGAGTGCACATTCCAAGACCAGAGGGGGCACATTCGCTATATAACGCAAATTTTCTTGTGCGAAAACCATCAGTAGAGTTGAAAATGTGATACAAACCCATTTAACTTCTATTTTTTATCCGACACATGGGAATTTAACCGCAAAAGTTATTTTTATGTGCACTACGTCATCACGCACAGCCTATTATCCGCAACAAGTCAATTTGATGGAAACACATCTCTGGTGGGAAAATGCACATATTGTTTTCATGCAGATTTTAGAATATTCACATGAAAATCTGTCGCCAACTGGATGGAAACCTAGCTCATGATGACAAATCCTGTGGTTGAGATTTCACCCTCAAAACAACAGTTGATGACTTTTTCAAATCAAATGTATTTTCCATGTAGATTCCATGTCACAGTTTGTTGACAAATTACGTTGAAACAACATTGATTCAACCAGTTTGTGCCCAGTGGGTAGTGGTAATATCTGGTTTGTTGTGGTTTCCAGGGGTCCTACTGGGCTATAGACACCAACCCTAAAGAGGACACACTGCCCACCAGGCCAAAGAAGAGGCCGCGCTCTGGAGAAATGGTGAGTACTGGATTTCAAACTAGAGTGGACCAGATTATTCCAAAAGACCGGTCATCAGGAGTCGGGACGAAAGCACCAGCTCCCGACACCTCTGAATATTCCTCACATGGGCCGACATACAATTTACACTGGTCTGATTAATGGTCATCTGCGGCGTGCACAAATGTAGCATATATATATATATATATATATATATATATATATATATATATATATATATATATATATATATATATATATATACACACACACACAGTACCAGTCAAATTTTTGGACACACCTACTCATTCCAGGGTTTTTCTTAATTTTTTACTATTTTCTACATTGTAGAATAATAGTGAAGACATCAAAACTATGAACTAACACATACGGAATCATGTAGTAACCAAAAAAGTGTTAAACAAATCAAATATATTTTATCTTCAAATAAATAAAAAGAAAAGATTAAGATGGGCAGTCTGAGATATGGCTTTTCTCGCATGGAATAGCCTTCATTTCTCAGAACAAGAATAGACTGACGAGTTTCAGAAGAAAGTTATTTGTTTCTGGCCATTTTGAGCCTGTAATCGAACCCACAATTGCTGATGCTCCAGATACTCAACTAGCCTCAAGAAGGCCAGTTTTATTGCTTCTTTAATCAGCACAACAGTTTTCAGCTGTGCTAACATAATTGCAAAAGGGTTTTCTGATTATCAATTAGCCTTTTAAAATGATAAACTTGGATTAGCAAACGCAACGTGCCATTGGAACACAGGACTGATGGTTGCTGATAATGTGCCTCTGTACGCCTATGTAGATATTCCATTAAAAATCAGCCGTTTCCAGCTACAATAGCCATTTACTCATTAACAATGTCTACACTGTATTTCTGATCAATTTGATGTTATTTTAATGGACAAAAAAATTGTTTTTCTTTCGAAAACAAGGACATTTCTAAGTGACCCCAAACCTTTGAACAGTAGTGTACATATGTTCACGAAATACAATAGATGGCCGTAATCACCCCCAGACACACCTGGCTAACTTGATGGGTCATGTAACATCTGGTGAGGTGGAGTCTTTTTTCTTTAGACGTATAGCTAGCTAGCTAGCTAGCTAGCTAGCTAAACAATGAACCGGCATAATCCCAACTCATGCTACTACCAATACAAACATTGTCATAGCTGTAGTATGAATCTGCAGGTAGCTAAAGCTAACCAACTAGGTCCAATGTTAGCTAGCTAACATTAGGATATATCTTGCAATGCAAATAGATTTCTGATTCGAATAATATTACTACACAAATCATACACGTAACGTTAGCTAGCGAACCAGCAAGCTAACGTTTGCTAGCTAGCTAACGGTACGCTTTAACTTGCAATGAAAATTGTGAGGCCGGTTGGACGTACTGCCAAATTCTCTAAAACGACGTTGGAGGCGGCTTATGGTAGAGAAGGGAACATTAAATTATCTGGCAACAGCTCTGGTGGACATTCCTGCAGTCAGCATGCCAGCATGTCCCAAGCACAAGGTGCTCCTGTGTAATAATCATGCTGTTTAACCCCCTAATGTCAATGTCTGCGCCCCCGAGGAAATCTAATTAGCTTTAGGACATACACAAGCGTCTTGGGACTCGTCTGAAGTCGGTACCGCCAATCTGCCAACTTCTGTCTGTAGCGTCCAAACAGTTTGGGCTACACACTTCCCCTGCGGAAGGGTGAGACTCTCACGAACACGTACATGTCGATTGTTTTGCTCTAGAACACCCACAGGCCTCACAAGACTGGTCTGAACATCTCCCGTTACCGGTTAAAATTAATGGAAGTATATATGGAGACTGTTTAGTGCCAAAAATAAGGGGTTAAATACATGTACAAAAAAATGAATTTTTTTTAAACATGTTTCCTGATCTTTCTTATATCTCTCAGATATAGGACAGACACTTCAGAACAAACTTCCTTTAGATTTTTTTGAGGGGACTCTTGTTCCATGTAGTGAATCTGTTATTCAATGTTTTTGTGTGGGCTAATAGCAGTAAGGCCAAATAACATTTTTCATCAAATACTTTTTTTATTTATTTTTTTGATACTTCAAGGGGTCTTTAAAATTCAAAATCAAATAGTAAAATGATCCTTGGTATGACCTTCTTAAAACAATTCCATATAGCTTAGTAGAACCCCCCCCTCCCCTGGCTTAGACGGGGCTTAGACTCTTATGGGTTAATCAGCTTCTTGATATGCCACACCTGTAAAGTGGATGGATTATTTTGGCAAAGGAGAAATACTCACTAATAGGGATGTAAACAAATTTGTGCACAACATTTGAGAGAAATAACATTTTGTGCATATGGAACATTTCTGGGATATTTTATTTCAGCTCATGAAACATGGGACCAATACTTTACATGTAGCGTTTATATTTTTGTTCAGTGTATATAAGAAACGGTAATCAATTGTCCCGTGTCAGATCAATATAAATGTAACAAATTCTGTTACAAATTCTAGGCTAAGGTATATGGACATTGAGTATTGCATTCTTTGCTTAACGTAAAACGACAGTCATCACCTATCTACTTCCAGATGGTGATATCATGCTGTGAAAAATCACGTCTCTCCTGCCCCTATAGAATTAACACTACACCATTGGTGTTCAGTGACCTGAACGCCTGACTGAACACAGCGCTGCAGCTCACTGAGCCCCGAGCAGCAGCAAGCCCATTCTCCCCCTCCGCATCTACCTCTGCCCTACCCATCACCACGGAAACAAAGCAGGCATGGAGCGGCAAAGTGCACAATCATCGCAGCCCAATGAGAAAAGGGAGGGAAAGCAGAAGAGAGAGGGACGGGAAGAACGGGAGGGAGATAGAGGGGGAGAGCGACGGGAAGGGGGAAAGAGAGCAAAAGAGTGAACGAGAGAAAATGAGAGGGAGAGCGAAGGGAAGGAGGAAAGAGAGAGCGGAAGAGCGAGAGGGAGGGGAGAGAAAGAGAGGGAGAGTATTCTAGGCTTCTGTTCCAGTTAATTACCACACACCACTAGACTCCCATTATACATATTTTCTTCTGTAAAGTTTTTTTTATCACAAACATTAATTCATTTAGAACCTTGTCATTTTTTCTTACACGTAAGACCTTCGACCCTTTTATTACACTTCGGTTGCATTGCTGGCAGATTTGAAAGAGTTGTCAGATTGGCTCGCAGAAATAGAGTACTTTGTTTTACTCAGAAATATAGCTGTCTTTTACAGTCAAAAGAGTATGTGTATCCATATGTGTATGCATATTCGTTTTTTCTAGACCAGAGATGTTCGATTGGGTTCAAGTCCGGGCTCTGGCTGGGCCACTCAAGGACATTCAGAGACTTGTCCCGAAGCCACTCCTGCGTTGTCTTGGCTGTGTGCTTAGGGTCGTTGTCCTGTTGGAAGGTGAACCTTCGCCCCAGTTTGAGGTCCTGAGTGCTCTGGAGCAGGTTTTCGTCAAGGATCTCTCTGTACTTTGCTCTGTTCATCTTTCCCTCAATCCTGACTAGTCTCCCAGTCCCTGCCGCTGAAAAACATCCCCACAGCATGATGCTGCCACCATCATGCTTCACCGTAGGGATGGTGCCAGGTTTCATGCAGACGTGACTCTTGGCATTCAGGCCAAAGAGTTCAATCTTGGTTTCATCAGACCAGAGAATCTTCTTTCTCATGGTCTGAGAGTCTTTAGGTGCCTTTTGGCAAACTCCTAGCGGTCTGTCATGTGCCCTTTACTGAGGAGTGGCTTCCGTCTGGCCGCTCTATGATACAGGCCTGATTGGTGGAGTGCTGCAGAGATGGTTGTCCTTCTGGAAGGTTCTCCCATCTCCACAGAGGAACTCTGTAGCTCTTTCAGAGGGACAATTGGGTTCTTGGTCACCTCCCTGACCAAGACGCTTCTCCCCCGATTGCTCAGTTTGGCCAGGCGGCCAGCTCTAGGAAGAGTCTTGGTGGTTCCAAACTTCTTCCATTTAAGAATGATGGAGGCCGCTGTGTTCTTGGGGACCTTCAATGCAGCACCTTCAATGCAGCAGACACTTTTTGGATACTCTTCCCCAGATCTGTGCCTCGACACAATCCTGTCTCGGAGCTCTACGGACAATTCCTTTGACCTCATGGCTTGGTTTTTTCTCTGACATGATCTGTCAACTGTGGGACATTTTTGTGCCTTTCCAAATCATGTCCAATCAATTACATTTACCACAGGTGGACTCCAATCAAGTTGTAGAAACATCTCAAGGATGATCAATGGAAACAGGATGCACCTGAGCTCAATTTTGAGTCTCATAGCAAAGTGTCTGAATACTTATGTAAATAAGGTATTTCTGTTTTTGTTTCTTTTGTTTTTTGCAAACATTTCGAAAAACCTGTTTTCGATTTGTCATTATGGGGTATTGTGTGAAGATTGATGAGGAAATATGTTTATTTAATCCATTTTAGAATAAGGCTGTAACGTAACAAAATGTGGAAAAAGTCAAGGGGTCTGAATACTTTCCGAATGCACTGTACATGTATACATCCACAGCATGCACATATCCTAGCCATTGTTTGTATGTAAGGTGACTAAACCATCTAACTGTTCTTCTGTGGTATATAAAGTGGTCAAATAGCAAGTAAAAAGTTGTTGGGGCCGAGGCACCAATCATCCTCTCTTGTAGGTATACAGGAGTACTAATTCTCTCTCTTTCTGTCTTCTCATCTTTCCTCCTGCCTTGCCCCTATGTTCATACAACTCTTGAATCAAGCCATTCCCTACTTTCTATATACACACACCTCTGTTAGGGATCCTGCAACTCTCTCCCCTCATTTAGAGTTTATCATAAATTAAAGTTTGTATTGTTGCAAACCAATCCTCTTTCAGTAAGCAGTTTTGGGAGCCAGGCAAGTGAGGGTAGACTGAAAGTGGTGAAAGAAAAGTGTTTGTCTGTCTGTAATAATTATTAACATTATGTTATGGTTTACTGTAGACTATACCAGTTTGAGATTAGATGCTATCTATCCCATCAATGTTCTGCAGAGAGCGACCAAGAGACAGCCCTCTCCCATCTCTCCCTTATATCACTGTCCTCTCCTCTTCTCTCCTATCCTCCAGGCCTCCACCCCCTACAGCCTGGAATCGGAGTCCCTGCGAATGGACTGTATCATGTACGGAGATGCCTCTCCCACTCTGGCAATCAACACTGTGACTAACAAGGTAGTCGTCTGACGTAATGACATGCAAACCCTAAGCCCTCTGGGGCAATATTGTAACACTGGCCATCTTTGTTCAAGGTAGTGATATTAATGTCGGCCATCTTTATTCCCGACCTGCCAACCTGCACACATTTTGCATACCATGCATACAATTTGAGGTCAACGTACGCTGGTATGAAAAACTACCCTAAAATACGCATAAATATGTTTTCAGTTGGCACTTTGTGGGCGAGGAGAAAACATCTCTAGCTCTCCGCTCCGGCCCGCCCCCCGGTAGTCGTAATAGCCTACTATTTTCCTCCCTCGAGTTGGATGGCAGCTTTCCACTTTTTCCGTTGATACCACTGATGTGTGAGGAAAAAGTGTAGGGAAAGGGGAGGACAAACTGTTTGCCAAATATATTTTCCAAAATTATATGTGTTAGTCAAGCACATAACCACTATTATTTTGTAGTTAGCTCCTTAGCTAAGGCGTCATTACGACAAAGGTAGTTAGCTACAGCGTTTAGTCAACTAAGCGAGAACACTTTGTTGCCCGCACATGCTTTGATCTCCGCAACAGTAGTAGGCGCGAGTGCATTGACGAGCAAGGAAACGTGCAGTGTTGCGGTAGTTCAGTACGTGTTGCTTCGTGGATGGAAACAGACATGGCTGTTCCGCTAATACTGTCCTTCACAGAAAGTTCTGTTCGACTTTTAGAGTAGTAGGCCTATGTTCATTAACCCCCTAGGGTCGATTGAATCCCCATCAAAATCCGTCTGTTTAAGCTAGTGATGTCTCAATCCACCGCATCCGCCTATGTCGGACTTCCGCATCTGCGGTGGAAAGTGGCAGAGCTACAGCGTTGTTTGTCAGACCAGGAGACATCCTTAAAATTGCTCTTCTCACGAAAACATTTGTAGCATCCGAACTGTTTGGCCTACACGTTGGTGTTCTCTGTTTTAGTGTTCTCTGTTTTGTTCTACGACCCCCACAAGCCCCACGGGACTCGTCTGAAGTCTGTACCGCCAATGTGCCAACTTCTGTCTGGAGCACCCAAACCGTTTGGGCTACAAACTAATATGACCCCACAATGGAAAGGGGAAACTCTCACATACACGATGGTGTTCTCCATTTGTTCTACGACACTCAGAAACAAGTGTCACGTAACTCGTCTCAAGGTAACCCGGGACCGGTTAAAACAATTAATGGAAGTATGGTAGTAGTTTTGTGCCAGCAAAAAAAAGGGGTCTGTTTTGTTTTTATATAATTCCTGAGCTTTATCTTCTAGATATAGGAATGCAACTTCGAAACCTTATTCCTTATGATAACATTTTTGAATGTCTGTTTTGCCATTTATGATTGTGATATTCAATGCATTTCTATGGGCTATAGCAGTAAAGGCCAAATTCAATATTTGATCAATTAATTGTTTAAAAAACAAAACAAAGTATACCTACAGGGGTCCAAAAATTCAAAATCAAATAGCTAAGTGATCCATGGTATGACCATCTTAAAACAATTCCATAAGTTAGCTTAGTTGTTTGCTATAATTTAAATGGATACTTAGGGACTTCCCCAGAGTCAGATGAACTCGTGGATACCATTTTCATGTCTCTGCATGCAGTGTGAAGGAAGTTGCTAACTAGCACAATTGCTAACTAACGTTAGCGCAATGACTGGAAATAGCATGCTAGCAGATACCCATAGACTTCGCAGATACCCATAGACTTCCAGTCATTGTGCTAACGCTAGTTAGCATTGGCTGGCAAAACTACCTCTATCTTCCTTCATACTGGACACAGAGACATAAAAATGGTATCCATAAGTTCATCTGACTCTGGGAAGTATCCCTTCTAGACTCTAGGTTTCTAGAAATTGCATTTACAGGTTTTTCAAATGCAAAATGCTCCAACTTCCTAAGGGGGAAGTTGACTGACCCCCTCCTGACCTCCCCCTACCCAACCTTAGGCCTACGTCAGCACCACCTTGTCAGAAAATCCTAGGGAGAGCCCTGATTGAACATTTAAATATATTTCTAGTTAGCTACTGAAGAGCAGCCAATTACCAAGTACCCATAACAGTCTATAGCCTACCATTCCTACTGAGGCAGTCTTCTGCCAACATCAATATTAGGCTAAAAAAGTGCATTTGCCTATGATTTGAGCAGTGTGGGTGTCACACGCCGCCGTGGGGGCTGGGGGTGCCCCCGCCGCGCTGAAGTGGTACTCGTAAAACTTCTTCAAGGTTGGCAGGTCTGTTATTCCAGCAAGTGATATAAACATTGGCTATCGTTGTTCCAGCAAAAGAAATTAACATTGGCCATCTTTGTTCCAGGTGGTGATATTAACGTCCACCATCTTTGTTCCAGGTAGTGTTGTACAAGACGGAGCAGGAAGGCAGCGACAGCCCCCGGAGCAGCCTCAACAACAGCCTCTCTGACCAGAGCCTGGCCTCTGTCAACCTCAACAGCGTAGGCAGCGTGCACAGCTACACGCCGGTACGTCACACACCTCCACTTAATAACACCACTAACACTGCCACAACAGGATGTTTCCTGTACAATGGCTTGAGGAGAAGGAAGCTATACTAAGACTGTGACCCACGTGGCGCTTTATTCCCTTTATACTACTACTTCTTAACCAGGACCCATATGACTATGGTCAAAAGTAGTGCACTATATGTAATAGGGTGGCATTTGGGACACAGAATAACTGTTGTGTCAAATTGTAGAGGTAGGGAACATCTAACCCAGACTGCCTATATAGATTTGAAAGACCTTTGCTTGAAAAATCATATTTATTTTGTTTTATTTATCTTTAAAAGTCTTAGTGGGAATCTGCCATGGTTGCTATTGGTCGACCTTTACTGCTGTACACGACTTCAGTCTTGGATCAGAGTGGACTTTTCCCAGCCAGTGTTTACTGGCTCACTACTTCAGTGGTTATTGCGGCAATGCTGCTCATGTGAGGCTGTGTTATTGTTTGTGTCTGAGGCCACGGCAGTGTGACACAGTCACTACTGACACACAACCCCTGTTCCAGACACTGTGTGGAAATACCTGGAGTGGGGTGGTGTGCATGCACACACTACTGAGGCGAGGGTTGAATTCATACCTAAAAGGTTGTTTATTTGGGGAATTAAGGGGAAGAGTAGAAACGAAACTGAACATTTGCTTTGTAAGAGCCTGTGTCTTACTGTTCATCACAGGGCATTTGGTTTCTTCCCCGGTGGAAACTAGAAACCACCGGTTTTCTCAACCTAATCCTTACCGGTCACCTAGGATTGCCACAAACAGTTTATTTAAACCAAGGCACTCCTGTGGTGTTGTAGTGTCTACTGTCTCATTGTCTGTAGTGTCGGCCAAAGCAAAGAACCCCAAAGACTTAGTCCACTATGTACTACAGGTCTAATTTGGGCACAGTGTGGAAACCAATATGGGCCTGTGTGACTGTGAGTAGACAATGTGGTCCAAACTGAATTCTATGCTTAGTATCATCGGAAGAAACTCCTCAAATGGACATAGACAGGTATCTGCTAAAATAAACCCCAACATAAAGTGTCTTAATATGGTTTTGGACAACCACGAGCCAGAACAGCTTCAATGCACCTTGGCATAGATTCTACAAGTGTCTGGAACGCTATTGGAGGGATGCGAAACCATTCTTCCACTAGAAATTCCATCGTTTGGTGTTTTGTTGATGGTGGTGGAAAATGCTGTCTCAGGCGCCGCTCCAGAATCTCCCATAAGTGTTCAATTGGGTTGAGATCTGGTGACTGAGACAGCCATGGCCTATGGTTTACATTGTTTTCATGCTCATCAAACCATTCAGTGACCACTCGTGTCCATTGTCATCCTATGGGGGCATAGCCATGGTAGCCAAAATAATGGCCTGCCCAGCATTTTTATACATGACCCTAAGCATGATGGGATGTTAATTGCTTAAATAACTCAGGAACCAAACCTGCGTGGAAGGACCAATATACCTTGTATCCCTCATTTACTCAAGTGTTTCCATTATTTTGTCAGTTACCTGTTACCGGTAGATGAGGCAACTGTTTGCTTTTTGTTTATCAATCATCATCCCCCCCCCCCCCCCCCGCACCTGCATTATACAAAGGTCAAAATAATTTCATCAAAGTAACCTATCTATTCTGGAGGCCATCCTCTGTTTTCCTCCCATCCCCTCATCCCACGTTCCGGGGGTAACGCGGAGCCCCAGACCTAATTTACGGCCAGTCATGTGGGATCAGGGTTAGTTCTGCTTCGTTAGCCCACCCAGGTGACGCCTCCTCGTTGAAGGTGATTACTC